CAGCTTGAGTGTCCAACCCATAGGGTAGGGGTGTCGAACTCAATCAGAGAAGGGGCCAAAATCTAAAATCCAGCCTAAATCGCGGGCCGAATGGTTTACTGAACAGTCATAAACTGTCATTGTGATGGAAACGCAGCAGAGTGCAGTGATGACAGCGCGGTGCGGGCCACATTGCAAGGCCTGGCGGGACGGATTTGGCCCGCGGGCCTTGTGTTTGACACATGTGCCATAGGGGGAAGTTTATGCAAATTCTGGGCTGGCCACTAAGTACACTATAAGGTGGTTAAGATAAAATGCACCTGGATCGATGTGCATCACTTATAAGGATATTTACCCGTGAAGTCAAATTAAGAGTAGAAGGCTCTTCCCTGGGTTTAGAATCAGGTTTGGATACTGATCTTAGGTATTACTCTATTTGAGTCTCCATTTCCACAAATGTAAAATGGCTTCAGTGACAATGACTTCTTTTTTTTTTTTTTTAAAATATATATTTTATTGATTTTTTACAGAGAAGAGGAGAGAGGGATAGAGAGTTAGAAACATCGATGAGAGAGAATCATCGATTAGCTGCCTCTTGCACACTCCCTACTGGGGATGTGCCCGCAACCAATGTACATGCCCTTGACCGGAATCGAACCTGGGAACTTTCTGTCCGCAGGCCTATGCTCTATCCATTGAGCCAAACCGGTTTCGGCAGACAATGACTTCTTAAGTCCTCATAGGATTATGGTAAAGATCCAGTAGTCCACGATATTGGGAAAATTAGACAGATACATAAAAAAAAAAAAAAAAAAAAAAAAAAAAAGAAAGAAAGAAAGAAAGAAACTAGACCCACCAATTAATTTTATGCATTGGTCCAAAGACCTGTAATAGTAAACCATTAAAGAAAGGGGATTTGAATAGGCAGGTTTTGTTGTTTTATGGAGGCTTATTCGTCGTTGGTAGGCTAAATAGAGAAGGAGAAATATAATTGAGATATTCATATTCTTCTCCCTATTTTACTAGAGAGGAAACCTCTTTTGTCTCCCACAATTGTACTACTCAGTTCATCAGATCTTAAAATTAGCCTTTCTGCTGTCAAGACAGCAACTTTATGTCAGTTGGATTGGAGTAGGGAGACTAGTTTCAGAGCTGTTTAACTCCTTTTGTTAATATTTCTTGAGCAATTAATTATATGTATAGTACCATTAGGAATTTTGAAAAGTATGTCCTTTTAGTCCTGTGTGAGAAATACCCACATGAAGTGATGAGGGCCTAAACTTGGGTAGTGACTGAAATTGAAATGGTAACTGGAGTTTGAGAGTCTTGGGATTGGAGAATTGACAGGACAATGTGACCTTGGGGAATAGGAAGAGTAGCATTCTTATGCTGAACACATTGAATGCCCAGTACCTGCAGCCTGCTGTGATAGATTAACATCAAGCAAACTGCTTTAAAAGATACTAGTGTAATATTGAAGAGGACATAGCATATAGATACAAGCAGCAGGCCTATTCACTTAGGTAGCACTTATTAGTTCAGTGACGCTAGATACAGGAAAGGAAATGATGCAAATCCAAGTCGCAGGGAGAAAATATTGGTAGAATCTAGATTTTCTCAACCTAGAATAGCATTTGTAATAATGGACAAATATGTAAATTGACTGTACCACTGTGATGCACACAGCCAATCAGGAGTAAGTATGCAAATTAACCCAACAAAGATGGTGGGCCTGTGGGCAGCGGGCACGTGTGCACTTGTAGAGCAGCCAGGGGCACAGCGTCACTGTAGTTCCTGCCTCCTGGCTGCTCAGGGCCTATGTGCGCAGGAGCTGAGTGCTGGGGGGGAGATATGTCCACTCACTCTCTGTGTTGCCAGGGTGATGTGGCAGGTATCCCCGGAACTCTGCCCGCTTTGAGCCTGTGGCCAGCTGTGCACTGGTGCTGAGCGGCTGGGGATACCACTGGAGTTTCTGGTTCTGTTAGCCCAGCCTGGGGGCTGCTGGAGCTCGCAGTCCACTTGGTTTTTGCAGCCCCTGGATCTGAAGTGGAAACCAAGGACACGGGGAGCACCAGGAATGCTGGGAATCATAGTTTTGGTGGCAGATGCATTGCTGAATCTCCTAGACACTAGAGCAAAGTGAGCCTGGAGCGAGTTACTGTTGCAGGTGGGGGATGGAGGAAAAGCAAAGGGGAGAGATATAAATAAAGTCACAGTGTCGAGGGAAAACTAAAGGGAAGATATCCTTCAGCTTCTAGGAAATCTCCACTAATGGGGCAAAGAGGAAAAAAAAAAAAGACCTCTCTTATTCTGTGAGCACTAAACCAAACTGGGTTGGGGTCTCAGACAATTCACTCATATGATTGCAAAGACAGACAGGATTGGAGAGGGCTCCCCTGAGGGTTCCTAGATTGAAAGAGGGTACAGGTCGGGCTAAGGGGATTCCCCCCCCCCCCCCTATTCTGTGCAGGAATTTTCATGCACTGGGCCCCTAGTCTGATTATATAAGAGAACAATTGCATGCAGTATTTTCTATTTTTATTTTTAACCATTTATTTATTTTTGGAATGAGTAATACATTTATATGGTTGAAAAATGAAAAAGTATTAAAAGACATACTACAAAAAGTCTCCCTCTCACTTTTGCCCCTCCCATACCCAATTCCTCCCTTGTATCCATCAGGTTTAAATGCTGGAAACAGAAACCACTCTGGGTACTTTAGCTACAGAAGGGATTAACACAAGAAATTGGGTACCTATAAATTGTTGGGTTGGAGGAGTAGGATCTAAGGGTCTAAGGAGGCTCCCTTAAATTATCAGTCTGAGGGACCCACCACTGTGATCTGGTCGTCAGGAAGTTACTAATGCTACTGCCAACCTTCCACACTGCTGTCTGACCGACCTAGGAAGCTAGTGACTAGACATTAGCCCCTTGCTACTACAGACTAGCACATCAGCATCACCTGGGAGCTTGGTTTAAATATCTTAGGCCCTAGCTTCACCTACAGAATTAGAATCTGCATTTTATGATTTTTAAAATAAATATAATTTTATTGATTTCAAAGAGGATGGGAGAGGGTGAGAGAGAAAATCATCGGTTGGCTGCCTCCAGCACCCCTACACTGGGGATCAAGCCCACAACCTGGCCATTTACCCTGATCGACTGGGAATTGAACCATGACTTCCTGGTTCATAGGTTCACACACAACCACTGAACCACGCTGGCTGGGCCTGATGATATGTATTAAAAGAAAGTTTGAGAGGTCTTGCACTAGAGCTTTAGTCCTGGCCACTATAAGTTGCCTCTAAACCCACAGTCTCCATGACCTTGATTGCCAATTGTCTTTTTGTTTTTAATGTTTCATTGATTTTAGAGAGAGGAAGAGAGATGGGGAGAGAAAGAAACATTAATTGGCTGCCTTCTGTATGCCAGTGGAGCCTGCAACCCAGTCATATGTCCTGACCAGGAGTTGAACCGGCAACCTCTTGGTGCATTTAGTGTGTGGGATGACAACCAACCAACTGAGCCACACTGGCCGGGCTTGATTGCCAATTGTAAGGGAGTCAGGGAAATATAGTTATTGGTTTTCCCAACTCTCAGTCTAGAAGAAGAATGGAAAAGAGATTGAAAGAGTTCATCTACTGAACTGATCATACTTATACAAGTAACCATTGTTAGTTTCTAGTATATCTTCTTTTTTTTTTAATATATATATATTATTGATTTTCCACAGAGAGGAAGGAAGAGGAATAGAGAGCTAGAAACATCGATGAGAGAGAAACATCGACTAGCTGTCTCCTGTACTCCCCCTGCCGGGGATGTGTCTGCAACTAATGTACATGCCCTTGACCGGAATCAAACCTGGGACCTTTCAGTCCGCAGGCCGACACTCTATCCACTGAGCCAAACCGGTTTTGGCTCTGTATATCTTCTTAACTATTTTATGTATATTTAAACATATATGAATATATTTATTTTTCATTTAAAAATAGTAATAACTTATACACAGTATTCTGTACCTTGCTCATTTCATTTAATATTTCATATTGGGAGAGCTTTCTGTGTCATAACAGAACCATCTTGTTCTTTTTTTTAATGTATTTTATTTTTTTTACAGAGAGGAAGGGAGAGGGATAGTTAGAAACATCAATGGGAGAGAAACATCGATCAGCTGCCTCCTGCACACCCCGCCTGGGGATGTACCTGCAACCAAGGTACATGCCCTTGTCCGGAATCAAACCTGGAACCTTTCAGTCTGCAGGCCTACTCTTTATCCCCTGAGCCAAACCAGTTAGGGCCATCTTGTTCTTTTTAACAATTGCATGGTATTTCACTCTATGAATTGCAAAATTCTTAAAATTGAGACTGTCTCATCCTAGCCAGTTTGGCTTAGTGGATAGAGCTTCAGCCTCTAGATTGGAGTCCTGGGTTCGATTCTGGTCAAGGGCACATGCCTGGGCTGCAGGCTTGATCCCCAGTAGGGGGCATGCAGGAGGCAGCTAATCAATGACTTCATCATTGATTTTTTTTTTCTCTCTCTCTATTCCTCTCCTTTCCTCTCTGAAATCAATACAAATATATTTTTTTAAAAATTAAGACTATCTAATATAATCTGGGTTGCATCGTCATCCTAATTTATTGGTACATGTGAAATGTAATTTAGTTGTTAAATGTTTACTTCCTGTTTTGTTTTGTTTTGTGCCCAGGTTTTGTGGAACTGGCATCTTGTTTAATTTACATTACAACCCAGTGTGCTGTGTATCCTTCCTCCACTTCACATTGGAGAACTTTGTAAAGTTAATTTAATAGTTCATAACTAAGGCATGTCAAAGATGGGATTTGAACCCCATGCCTGTTAGCCTCCATAATTTGTGATTGGACACCATTATAAAGACCTTCTAAATGATGCCTTTATTTAGTACTTTGGTAACCTGTTCCTTAGGAAAGAGATTTGGAAGGGTACTGTTTTAGATATTTTGGGTGAGTATTTATAGGCATTTCAATTTTCTTTTCTGACTTAGGTATCCAGCTCACATAGAAGATATTGACTACGAAGAAGGAAAAGTACTTATCCATTTCAAGCGTTGGAACCATCGTTATGATGAGTGGTTCTGCTGGGACAGTCCTTATTTACGCCCTTTAGAGAAAATACAGCTGAGAAAAGAAGGCTTACATGAAGAGGAAGGATGTTCTGTGAGTAATAGATCTGGGAAGTTCTGTAATGAGCTGGATCAGAACCAATGTGCTGGATCAGTAGCATCTGGGAATAAATTTTTATTTGGGCCTGTAGGTGCAACCCTGAGATCCCCAGGGCATCAGGGGCTCTTGAAGAATCCCAGTTGTCATCTGCTTGAATGTGACAGCACATACACTAACTTTGTTGAAACCTCACTGATGATGAATGGGACCCTAAATTTACACCACTGTATACCTTTGGTTTATTTATTAAGCTGATCTGTTTGAGCATGTCTTAAGCAGTCATTCCATGTGAAGTACTATGTTAGCTTCATATTAAGGTCTTTAAAAAAAAACACCCACATGATTTTAGATTTTTTAGAGATATTGGAAGGGAGAGGGAGAGAGGCATAGAAACATCTATGAGAAAGAAACACCAATTAGCTACCTTCTGCACACCCATCCCCTACTGGGGATTAAGCCCACAACCCAGGTATGTGTCCCGATTGGAATTGAACTAGTGATCTCTAGGTGCATGGGACGATACTCAGCCAACTGAGCCATGTACTGGTTGGGCCATATTAAGGTCTTTTATAAGCCCTTGAAAAACTTGGACTTGATTAGACTCTTTTTTTTTTTTTTTAATATATTTTATTGTTTTTGTACAGAGAGGAAGGGAGAGAGATAGAGAGCTAGAAACATCGATGAGAGAGAGTCATCGATCAGCTGCCTCTTGCACACCCCCCACTGGGGATATGCCCGCAACCAAGGTACATGCCCCTGACCGGAATCGAACCCGGGTCCCTTCAGTCCCCAAGCCGATGCTCTATCCATTGAGCCAAACAAGTTTCGGCTAGACTCTGTTTTTGATAAATTTCATCACTATGCTTGGCGCTTTCACCGATTTCAAAATGAAGGAATGAGGTATTAGTTTTGAGATTTTTGAAAATGATATTGAGGTATCTGTAGAGATCCTGCTGCCTTTGGATCTGACTCAGCCCTGGATTGTTTTCCATTTTAACCCTGACCAGGGAACTTGAACCCTTGCTAAGGCGCTTTTCTCTCCCTTCCCCTCCCTATTTAGAATTGTTCACTATTGTCCAATTTAATTGTTCAATATTCTACAAAATGCATCAGTGCAAACTGTCTAGTGGGAAAAGAATATGAAATATTAAAGGTGAATGGGTATTCCTTTGGCTAATGTCCCTTTCAGCATGTGGGTTAGATGGCATGAATGTTCTTCCTTCAAAATGAAGTAGCCTCCTTTCTTCTCGATGGTATACTGGGTATATTCCCTGCTGATCCGAACTCTTAGTCACTATCAGGGGTAGGCAGGGATATCATTAGTGCTATGCTGCATTGCCTACACCTCCTAGGATGGGAAAGGTCTTGTGTCCAGCCCTTTTGTTTTGACTCCTAATGCTGAACAGTGAAAATATCTTCCTTGATCCCAGTAGCCATCTCCCTTTCCCACTCTTGTGAATTCCAGCCTTTTATGAATTCTGGTACCAGTGTGTCCTGTGAAACTGAATTAGTAACAGGATCTTTTGTTTTTTTTAATGTTTTCTAGGAATTTCAAATAAATGAGCAAGTCCTTGCTTGCTGGTCTGATTGTCGTTTTTATCCAGCCAAAGTCACCGCTGTTAACAAGGATGGTAAGGCATTTGAGTTGTAATATTAATGACTTAAAGGGGAGTTTTATATATTAGGGTTTGATAGTATGTTTTCAGTATGTATTTATTGCTTAGGAATCCTATCTCTTCAAGTTAACCATTGTGTCAAGAGTTAGGAAGAAATTGCAAATGTAGAGAAAGCTGGGTTAAATAGGGTAGTTTGATTTATTGCTTTCTAAATTAAAAAAAAAAAAAAAAAAAATATATATATATATATATATATATATATATATATATAGTTGATTTTTTACAGAGAGGAAGGGAGAAGGATAGAGAGTTAGAAACATCAATGAGAGAGAAACATAGATCAGCTGCCTCCTGCACTCCTCCTCCTGGGGATGTGCCTGCAACCAAGGTACATGCCCTTGACTGGAATCGAACCTGGGACCCTTCAGTCTGCAGACTGATGCTCTATACACTGAGCCAAACCTGTTAGGGCTGCTTTCTAAATTTTAGTTGTTATTTTCTAAAATAGTCATGGTTCATTCGTCACTCTGCTGGGAAGTGTATAGATTCTTGCTGTCTGGGAGTTCCTAATATAATTGATAAAATAAGTCCCTAATATTCCTTTTGCTTACTTGTGAATAGCCTAGAAGTGAAGTGAATGCCAACAAACATTTCTTTAAAAAAATTTTTTTTTTGAAAGCTCTTCAATCTTTTTATTTTTTAAAAAAACATTCTTTGTTGAAAGTGTTACAAACATTTCTTAAAAATGTGCTTTGTGGATGTAAGGTAAATAAGGATGGTCTGTAATGTTAGAGTTGCTAGTTGAAATTGGGATGGTCGGATTTAGGGCACTGAGTTGGGATGTCTTTGTCAGAGTTTAGAACATCTGAGGAGTCAGGACAAGGGCAATGCCCATAGAGGTTCATTTTGCTAGTACATAAGCAAGAGGAGGGAGATAGTATGTATAGTCAGCATCCTGACATTCAGTCAACAGACTCTGGGTTCAGTGACATTTTTTTTTTTTTAGCTTTTTCTACCAGGATATTTATGATTTGTCCATGATCTCTGTAATGAATATTTAGGGTAGTCAGGCCTCTTAGTACTACTGTTATGGGTGACTGTAAGGCCAACTTGACTTTTCATTCCATGAAGTTATTATTCTTTAACGTTATTATTATATAAATGCTGAACCTTGGGCTGGCTAATCAAGAAGTTTTTAACATGAGAATAGGGTGAAATGGTAAAAAATGAATATTTATTTCCATGAAGCAGAATTTTTAGTTTCTCTATTGCTACATTCATGCTCTCCTCACCCCCCCCCCCCCCCCCCCCCAGCTATTAGAACACTGTGGGTTAATAGATGTAGGTTTATTTATGTGCCAGATATACATTATCCTTAAAGCACAACCCTCAGGCTTCCAAAGCAGGGTTATATTTTCTAAGTTGCACAAGCAATTACTAATTCTCTAGTTTTTGATTGATTAAGAATTTTTGGGTAGTTCCTTCTTTCCTTAAATTACATTTATAAGCTTGTGTTCAAAATAAAATCCCATTACTATTTTTCATATGTATCCCATTAACCTAAAGACTTATTATTCATTTATTTTTTGTTGTTAAGCCTCCATTGATCTGTAGAGAGTGTGAAAGGGAGGGAAGGAGAGAGAAAGCTAGAGAGAGAGAAAAACATCACTGTGAGAGGGTTGCCTCCCACACTGATTGGGCCCTAGGATCGAACCTTCAACCCAGGTACATGACCGGGAATCAAACCCAAGACCCTTTGGTGTAACCACTGAACATCACAGGCCAGGGCCTAAAAACTTATTTTAAAAGGAAGCTCATATGTTATTAAACTGTCTCAGATCCTTTTAGTAAAAGACATAGTTTATGTTTTTAGTCTCATTTTCAAGATAAATAATTATTTCTGCTTTTACTGTATTTAAATCATGATATGAAATACAGGTATTCTTCATGTACATAGAAGTGTTCTTGAAAATCTATTTTGTTGATTTATGCTGTTAAAGTCATTTCTCCCCAGAATAATATACATTAAAGTGTTTGCCCCTTGGGTAAATGGCTGCCCCTTCAGTTAAATGAAAGTTGTGGGTGGTAACATGGGTAACTATAGGTCGGAGATTAGTAGCAGAAAGGAAGCAACATATCTCTTTTGTTTCAGTGATATCTCAGCGAACATGGAGGACAGAAATGGGGTGAAAAAGATTGGATGAGGGAGCAGTGAATGAGGAGCAAATTGAGGAAGAGGCATTGGGGAACTCTAGGAACTGTCTCATAGAGGGGTGGGGGTATCTTGGTGTAGTCAATAAAGGCATTAGGAACCTACTTGCATCTAATATTTGGAGGGCTCAGAGCTTGGCACCAGAGATTAAAAACAAAAAAAAACAACAACAAAAAAACAAAGACCTAGATTGAGGCAGAATGGGGTGTTGAGATAGCCACCAGGAGGAGGCAGGGCAGTAGTAGATAGTGCAGATAAATCTTAATGGGAGTGGAGAGGGACCCCTGTCTACAGTTAATGTTCTTTTAAGTGTTTTTATTTTTATTCAACTATAAGCAAACAGCAGCATTAATACAACATTCAGCAGGTCCAGGCTAGCTTTTGTTATAACAGTGAACAGCTTAACCGGCACAGACTGGAGGGTTTCTGGTGACCTGTCACCCAGCCCTGCAGCCCATCTAAACGGCTGTTCCACAAAAGGAAAGCAACTCTTCCTATTGCTTTTTCTAGTACTGCTTTTTAAAGGAGCTAGAGCAGGATACTGATACCTCATAACCAATCCGAGATGTAACATATTGGTGGTTAGTGGATATGCCAACTTCAGGTTGTCTGGTGAGAGACAGGGCTGTGAAAACACGTCTCAGAATATGCTATCATGCACAATTCTGGATTTTGGCTTGGTGCCCTGACTGGAGATTCAACTCTCAACCGTGGCATATCAGATGATGTCTAACCAACTGTAGCTACCTGGCCAGGGCTGAGGTCTTCTGAAATTATCACTTAAGAGCTAGAAGTCATTGGCCACATTGTGAGCCATGGTTAATTAAGGTTTTTAAATGTCTTAAACTGGGGTTTTAAAAGTTGTTTTTAAAAATCTTTTCAGTTTATTTCCTCCATGAACTAAAATGATAGGAGAGAAGAGTCTTGAGGCAGTTATTCCTAAACCAGTCATTTGTTGCCCTAATATATAGTCTTTATAAGCTCTGAATACTGTCCAGTAAATTTTAGTTGAAGGACATTGAAAATGAGTGCTGACTTCTGCCAGAACCTGTTTTCCCTAGTTCTTGAGTATGAAGTCCTCTATTATGCTGCTATCTTACTGGTTCTTTTGTTTTTTCCTCTTCCCCTTACTGGTTCTTTTAAATATATATATGTATATGTGTGTATATATATGTATATGTGTGTGTATATATATATGTATATGTATATATATATTATTGATTTCTTTATTATTGAGAGGAAGGGAAAGGGATAGAGAGTTAGAACATCGATGAGAGAGAAACATCAATCAGCTACCTCCTGCACACCTTGTACTGGGGATGTGCCCACAACCAAGCTACGGTACATGCCCTTGACCAGAATTGAACCTGGGACCCTTCAGTCCACAGGCCAACGCTCTATCCACTGAGCCAAACTGGTTAGGGCTCCCTTACTGGTTCTTGAAATTAATTTGAAGGGGGAGGAAAGGAACATGGGGGAAGGGAAATCCTGGTTAGTGGAAACAGTTGGGTGGTATTATTGCCACGCTGTAGATTGTGAGGGAAAACTTGCCTTTGTGGGAGCTCAGATTTTTTAAGATGAGATAATGACCCTTAGGTGCTGCCTTTGTGTTAGATTTTATCTGTGGGAGCTGGAATACAGTTTCTAGTTAATCAGGAGTCATTCCAGCAATTTCGGATTGGAAGACATTGCTGGGCTTTTTCCCTCTTTCCCTGGTATTTTCTGCCCTGCCTCAGTTTCATCTGTAGCAGGGGCCACCACAGCTTAATGGCACTGTGAGTAGAAGCTCTGCTGGCAGGCTGCCCTTTTATTTCCTATAAAGGTCATTCTGAATTGTTGGTATTGCCAGGCGGAAGCCAAGGATATAGCGAAGTCAAACTCTAGATTCATCTTTGGTAGGGTTGGTCTACTTTTCTTGCCACTGTTACCCTCTCTGGTGGTTTTGCTGAGGCTATTTATTGACTGAGCAGGCTGGTGGGCGGGCTCTAGTCAAAGTGGAGAGCAACAGCTTCTGGCATGGGAATCTGACGTGATTAAATTACCAATAACTAGCAACTTTAGAGTTTCTTGAGAGTTATTTAACCATTGGAAACGGGGGAGGGCAATGCCATATTATTTAGTTATTTCATCTGGAGTTGTTCTTTGACAATGGTAATTAAACCTCATTTAGTGTGAAGGCAGCCAGCCACACCTAGTAGCCTTGTTGACCCTGGGTTTGTGTTGTGGTAAAAGATAGGATTCTGGTTCCAGGGATTCTTTGTTCAGAAGCCATCTCCGGTGAGTTGATTTTAGCTCTTTGCTGGGGCTGCCCAGCTCCCCTTTTTCATGCTGGGGATGGCAGAACCACTTGTCTGTCAGGGCTTTATGCTCCCAGTCTTGGGGAAACTGAAAGTAGGTTCACATTTACGACAAAATGAGGAATTGTTTCTTCCTGTTGATGTGTGGTTCTCTAACTTGAGTGAGCAGGCTAATCAGGTTCCTCTTCCTTAAAGTTAAATGCATATTCTTAGGTTACGTTCCTGCCTTACCCTCCCTCCTCACCAGTCTCTTTGGTCCTTTGTCTGAGGTCTGTATTTGTAACAGGAGATCCTGTAGAAACAGTCTTATTTCTAGAATCTTTTGTTGAAGCTGTTACTATTTTTTGTTTTCTTTATGCTGTTGCTCATGGTACATTTGAAATGCAGAGATGTTGGGACTATGTGAACAGCTTTGCACAGAGATGAAAGGAAGATTAGACTCACATATGCAAGTGCTAGCTTGGCTTTTATCTTCTAGGATGGGAAGGGGTTGGTGCTTTTATTTTTATTAATTCTCATCCAAAGATATTTTTTTCACTGCTTTGAGAGAGAGAGTGGAAAGAAGAGATTGGGATGGGGGAGTGGAGTGAGAGAGAAACATTGATGTGAGAGAGACACATCGATTGGTTGCCTCCCATACATGCCCGAACCAGAGCTGGGGCTGAGCCTGTAACCAAGGTACATGCCCTTGACCGGAATCTTCAGTCCCTGTGCTGACTCTCTATCCACTAAGCCAAAGCGGCTAGGGCCCCTATCCCAATAAACACAGGCTGGGCCTCCCTCAGATTCTTAATTGTTTTACTGCTCTTTGTTCTTGGTCTATATTTAGAACAACTTTTTAACATTTTAATGAAGCATCATAAAAGTGAGTTGTTTTTGATGAATTTTTATCTGTATAGATAAAAAGAAAGGCAGGCATACTATTATCTTAGACATGGTAAGGCATATGATTCTTAAAGAAATTTTTAATTTCCATAAGTTTATTATAGTATTGTTGTTGGAACTCCCTTGTATTTATGCTTTGAAAAGTTGTGTCACTTTCATGAAACTGCAAGTTAAAATCATGATATCTTCTTGAATTCTAGGTACTTACACTGTGAAATTTTATGATGGAGTAGTTCAGACTGTCAAACATATTCATGTCAAAGCTTTTTCCAAAGATCAGGTGAGATATGTGGTTTTGTGCTTTGTGGTATGAATAATACTAACATTGTAGTTTTGTTTCTCAAATAAAGACATTACATTTGTTTATGATGGCAAAGTCTTTATTTCCTCCATCTGACATAATTTCACCAGGAAGCAATGTGCAAATTTTCAGAAATTGTAAATATTTGTCTCTTTCTGCCATTTTCTTTTAACATAGATTCTTTTTTTCAAAAGTGCCAAATACTTGGATACCATTACCTATTATCTGTTTTCCTTATCTTTTCATTAAAGTGTCATTCTTTATTTTCTCTCTTTGTGTCCTGCCCCCCGTCACAGGAAACTTGCTGAACTGCTTGAGGAGATCTAGAGTTTGTTTTCTCCTTGTCTAACTTTGTTTTTAAGCTCAGGACCATGACATGGTGGTTTGGCATGGATTTGGCAGTCATCTATGCTAGATGTGCCTGCGTTGAAAATGTTATTTCCTGTCCCAGGCATCTATTTGAGCACAGGACCTGCTTTTGATGTTGGAAATATGGTGTACACAGATATGGGCCATCTAGATGTGTTGCCTAATTTCTTTGTAATTTTTTTCCCTTTTGTCTTTTTTTTGTTTTCATGAAGCAGTTGAGGGGAAAGAGATCAAAAGTTGGATATTGATTCTTAAAAAACTCTGATTATTACTGTTACCTGTTTGGTGGTGGTTGTTGTGACAATATTTTGTGATGCTGGAACTTGTATCTTATGATGATCAAATGCTTCTCCTTATCACAAACTTTTGTAAATTCTTTTGTACATATATTTAGCAATTTTTTAAAAATATATTTTATTGATTTTGTACAGAGAGGAAGGGAGAGAGATAGAGAGTCAGAAACATCGATGAGATAGTCATCGATCAGCTGCCTCTTGCACACCCCCTACTGGGGATATGCCCACAACCAAGGTACATGCCCTTGACCGGAATCAAACCCGGGACCTTTCAGTCCCCAAGCGGACGCTCTATCCATCGAGCGTCCAAACCGGTTTCGGCTATATTTAGCAATTTCAAAGGATCATGATATATGATGTGTTTAAAGGTAACCTAACAACATTTTTGCCTTGTGATGATTTTCTGCTTCAGAAAATAGATAAAATTATAAGGCTTTACCCCTGAAGATGTTTTCTCTTTGATAACTTGGCCCTGGGAGCTACACAGTACTCTTATTTTAAAAAAATATATGTTTTACTGATTTTTTACAGAGAGGAAGAGAGAGGGATAGAGAGTTAGAAACATCGATGTGAGAGAATCATCAAACAGCTGCCTCTTGCACACTCCCTACTGGAGATGTGCCTGCAACCAAGGTACATGCCCTTGACCAGAATCGAAACCGGGACCTTTCAGTCCGCAGGCCTGATTCTCTATCCACTGAGCCAAACCGGTTTCGGCTACATAGTACTCTAAAACATTATCCTGGTGTTCTTTGACAGTTTTTGTGTGCAGTTCATGGAGTTAACATAGATAGAGGACCATATTAAGAACTTGCCCAGAATTGTCAAATTGTATCCAGAACCTCCCCAAATGGAAATCCAGTGCTCCAGAAAACAAACGTTCAACTATTTATTCTGCTCTACTCAATAAACTAATTGATAGGCTCTTGGTGCTTTGGTTTGGAGTTGTGCACCTTACCCTGTGTGAATTTATGGGTGCTTCAGTTTTCAATTTCCAGATGCCTCTGAGTGTCTCACCTTATCTCAGACTTAGCGGGTGGTCAAGCAAATGCCTGTGGCGCCTATTTGCTTGTGTTTTCCCCCCAAGAGTATATATAATTTGGATAAATGACTAGTTAGGTCTTTTTGACTCTATTAAGCTAAGGTTCTATAATGGCCATTTATAAAGCAAAAGTTCTTTAAAAAAAGTGACAATTTTAAAGTTTTTTTTATATAGTATTAGAATAGATTGAGATTTCTTTTGTAGGACCACACTATCTCAAAGTTTTGATTAGCTGTATTTTAGGAACATTTATATATTTTTTGAGGTTAAAAAAAAGTTTGTTATTGAAAGTTAAGAAAGTACAGAAAAGCACAAAGAAAGTAAAAACTGTAAGTCTATTATCTAGATATAATTACTGTTAACTATTAACATATTGATGTATATCCTGTGTTTTTTGTTAAATATTTATGTATGTACATATTTCTTTTCAAAATTGGAGTCATATAGTATATTACTGTACTATAACTTGGTCTTTTCTTTTAATGAAATAACATTTCCCTAGTTTCTTTAAAGAAAAACTTAATATATATTTTTTTAAATCAATTTCAGAGAGAAAGGGAGAGGGAGAGATAGAAATATCAATGATGAGAGAGAATCATTGATCGTCTGCCTCCTGTATACTCCATATGGGGGATCGAGCCTGCAACCTGGGCACGTATCCTCCTGGTTCATGGGTCGATGCTCAACCACTGAGCCACACTGGGCGGACTTCCCAAGTTCCTAATTCTTTATGTGAATATGGCTTTTAATGGCTATATATAGTATTTTATAAGATGTATATATCTCCTTCCTTGTGTAACCAATTCCCTAATGGTCATGTTAGGGTATTTGTAAATCTGGATTCACAAGTCTGATTATCCTGTTAGCAAATTTTATTTCTAGGAATTCATTCTAGTTCAAAGTATAAACTTAAGTCTTTTGACCTGAATTGCCTGCTGCCTGCCCTAGCCCTTCCCCCTGCATCCCCCTAGCTGGGTGTACCAATTTATGTTTCTGCCAAGCAGTTACTGAGGGTTGCTTGTTCTCAAACCTGGCTGCTTTCAGAAAATTTTGTGGACTTGAAAAAAATATTTCCTTTTAAGTTCGAACCACAGGGATTCTTCTTGTTTATTATTGTTTCCTATGGGACAAATTAAACTTTTATTCAGTGAATATTTTAGGCACTCCTTTCTGTTTCTGACAAAGATCTGTACTTAGTAGATGTTAGGTGCTGGGGATCTTATGAATATGATATGATAGAGATTTAGGTCTTAGAAGAGAGATAACATATACAAATACACAATTATAGTTTTGGAAACTTCAGAGCTGGCTTTATTATGAGACATTCATAATAAATTAAAGATGAATTTTAAAGAAAGTAATTTAGGAGGAAAGTAGCCAAGAACCAGTACTTCCTCCTGATAGATAAAAATTCAGTAAGTAACTAAGGAATACAGAAGGTGGCTTGTTGGACTGCACACAGCCTTTACCCAGTAGAGGAAGCAAAGACTCTTTCTGGGTTCGAAAATCTTTACAACTTTCCTTTCTGCCTCTAGTTATCAGTTTGGGTTCTACTCTACACAGGGAATCAGCATCCATTGGCACACTAAGGCGGACCTCTGAGGGGCCCTGGGTCAGTTTAGACATGCTTGGGTTGCGGCATTTTCTTAGAAAGGTTACTTTCCACCAGAGGACCTTGTGGTAATTATCTATTCCTTTAACTGTTTTCTAGTGACTTAATAATCTTAAGGGATCTAATGATCATTGTTTTCTTTAAACTTAGGATTGGTTCTTAAGCCTCAAATTATAGGTAAATATTTTTAGTGGTGACCATTATGTGACTTGGCATTATGTCCTTTTAATGTCTGTGTTTGTCTTCATAAGTTTGCAAAGATCTATCTGGTTTTATATTTGCTTGTAATCACAAAGTGTGTTTCATCGCTATTTTGCTCATTTTAGAATATTGTGGGTAACGCTAGGCCTAAAGAAACAGATCACAAAAGTCTTTCATCATCTGATAAACGACAGAAGTTTAAAGAGAAGAGAAAAGTCACAGTCAACCTGAAGAAAGACAAAGAAGACAAAGCCTTAAAGACAGAAAAGCGAACCAAGCATCCTGATAAAGAAGGAAAATTAATCTGTTCTGAAAAGGGAAAGGTGTCAGAGAAAAGCCTTCCCAAGAACGAGAAGGAAGATAAGGAGAACATTTCAGAAAATGACAGAGAGTACTCTGGAGATGCTCAAGTGGATAAGAAACCTGAAAATGACATTGTGAAGAGTCAACAAGAAAACTTGAGGGAGCCAAAAAGAAAACGAGGCAGACCCCCTTCCATAGCTCCTACTGGTGAGTTTCCCAAGTGGGCTCTGCAAGGACAATGCCAGTGTTTTTCTGTGGCCCTATGTGGTTCTTTATCACTTCTATACATCAATCCTTCATTTTTTTGTGGCTGACTTTGAATTGTCCTATGATCTGAAAACAAGTCATGTTCCTGAAGCTGAATTTTAAGGGAGAAATGTGTCCAGATGAACATAAGTTGGGAAACATGTCAGAGATTGAGCTTTTGAGGGGTAATTGTCCACTAGATATTTCAGCTTATATGATAAAACCAAGTAAGATAAGGCCTTTACTAGTGCCTGTTTAAATGATCTCAATTTAAGTGAGCTTAATATTATAGAACCTGGGATCAGGAAATAGAGTTTTTATGAGAGACATGAAAGAGGAAAGGAGAAATAAGGTGTGGGCATCTGAAGGAGGTTTACTGAAGGAAATGGTGCCAAAGACCTAGAAAAGCATGGGTGCGTTTGAAATTCAGTTCTCTGCAGACTAATTATTGATTGAAAAATTTCACAGTCTAAATAAAAAGCTGAGATGGCTAATTGGTAAGAGTCCGGGTTAAAGGATACAGACTTACAAAAGAATGTGCAGTTGTTAAATAAAGTTGAAATTTGGAATTTTTCTAGAATAACCTAGAATGAAACACACCCTGAATTTCTTCCTAAGTCAAATACTTCTCTAGATCAAGTTAATGGCATGAAGAGTTCCCAAAAGATCTCTAAACTGAATGCCTATGATTGTCTGGCAGTGGTCTTCAGATATTCTGGCTTGCATATTCTTTACATGAATACTGAAAAACTGAATCCCCTAGGACATTTGAAAGTGATACCTACTTTTTCTCTCACGTTTGAAAGTTGCAAAAGATATGTAAATTTTATTTTCATCAAAATTGTGGAATTACAGAATTAGCTCTTTCATTGTTTCCAAAGCTAGTTCTGTCAATCCGGACAGTTACATCAGACTTAATTTCTGTGGCAAAAAGTCTACCTTAATTTACTTAAAATAAATGCATTAGTCATCATTTCCAGTAGACCTTCTCACATCTGAGTTCTAATTTTAAGATTGAAAATTAAGTAGATTGATTTCTTCCCCAATGAAATAAGGCACATTTCCCTTTAGTGGTTGTAACTGGGTATTGTCTTCAAAAGCTGAGCATGCTGGAATTGTCCATAGACAAATCTAGGGCCTAGACCTGCGCTGTCCAGTATGGTAGATGCTAGCCAAGGTGGCTAGTGAGCACTTGAAATGTGGCTAGTCTGAATTGAAATGTGCTGTAATTGGATTTCAAAAAGTTAGTACAAGAAATCCCACAAGAATGTAAAATATTTCAATTTTTTATATTGATTCCATGTTGAAATAGTTTTGGATGTATTGGGTTAAATAAAATGTATTCTTGAAATCATTTTCACTTTTTTCTTTAATTTATTAATATAATGACTAAAATTTTTAAATTTATGTACATGGCTTGCATTTTGTGGCTCTCATTATATTTCTGTTGGACAGCACCGGCCTAAATTCACTAGCTTTCTCAACAGCGTCCCGGGAGAGAATTAAACTCTAATACCAAGGTATCCATGATCTGTAATGAATTGACTCATCTCCTGTGCATTTCAAATGATAATAGTTATAAATTACCCTTGAGAGAATTGAAAAAATAACCTGTGTATTTGGTGTTCAAATGAGGAATCTAGTTGAGAAAGTCTAGAGGTTTTATACCTCTGGACAGTGTATCATGTAGAATGAGTGAGAGGCAGGCCTTTTTATGTAAATGGGAGAAGTGGAAAAGGTGAACTGGCAGAAATCAAGTCTCCCTTTTCAGTTTAAGAAAGAGTATGTAAACATGGGAACTGAGTGTTTGTGAAACTGATTCTTCTTTAGCTATTTATGCTCTAGCTTGTACCCCCTGTTAAGTGTGTATTGGGGTAATTGCTCTTCAGCTTGCAGACTTCACTCATAAAATAAATGCCATCCAGTTTATTGCTTTTATTTTGTAAGTGTAGGATTTCATACCAGATAGAATCAATTTAAGAAAGAAATGGTATTTTCCAAGCTTACTGTTAACACTTGGCCTTCCTTCCTAGTCAGAATTTCTGGAGCAGGGTTTGGGAATGTAAATTGTTAAAAACAACCTTCCCAGATGATTCTTTTGTAAGAAAAGTTTGGGAAACACTGAAATTCAATGTAGTCAGCCCCAGTTTGTATATGGTATCAAAGTGAAGAATGCTTGCCAAATAGCTTATAGTTCATGTCCCCTTTTAAAATTGTTGGAATAAGTTTATTGACTCAGTGGGGCCTTGAGCTCTGTAGATTATAGACTTGATTGGAACAGAATCTGAGCTATTTAAGGAGAGTTGTTTGTGTTTAATCTGGAATGTGTGTGACCTCCAAGTTCCCACCACTTGGAACAAAATAATGTTGGTACATTGGGAAAGTTGAACACAGGAAGAGCCAAGGAGTTCAGCACTCTCATCTTGTTTGCTTCCTCAGAGCTCAGTCTCAGAGCTCTTGTTTGGCCATTTGAGATGGCAGATATGAAGCTACTGGTGTTAGATTAGTCTTTCCTTCCCCCTCTCTTCCTTTTTCTCCTCTCTCCTTTTAATCATCATCAGTCCCCTTAGCCCTGCCTTCCCTCCAACACTTCCTGATTTCTTATCTTTTGTTTTTACTTCTACTTGCCTTTTGTAATCTTATCTTTCCTGATTGGGGAAGAGCCTCTTCAGTATTAGATTTAAAAATAAAGAGTACTACTGTCCGGGGGTTTAGTGTTTGCACTGCTAAATTATGTCAGAGCTGGATTTGCTAGTGATCAGCAGTCTGGCCTGGAACTTTGACTGTCAAATAGAATAGCCTCCTGAGATTTTTCTGGAATTGTTTTTAGAGGTTATAAATTTTGACATTCTTTTTAGTCTCTCAAAACTCGGACCAATGCCAAGCTAATTTAGCAAGTAGAGATTGAAAACAAATCAAACCATACTTCCAGGGTTCATATTTTATGAATCAGCCTGCATGGTAGATTTTCAGAGTATTGGATAAGTCAAGTTTTGATGAAAAGATTTGATGCTGTGCCCTGGCTGAGTAGCTCTTTTGGTTAGAGCATCTTTCTGATACACCAAGGTTGTGGGTTCGATCCCCGGTCAGGGCACATACGAGATCAACTAATGAATGCATGAATAAGTTGAACAACAATTGGTGTTTCTTTCTCTTTCTTACACTCTCTCTCTCTAAGAATCAATAAATAAAAAAATAAAGATTTGAAGTAATAAAAATGACTTTAATATTGCTCTTGCACCTTCATATTTTAAAGCAGTCATATTGGGATATAGTATTTTAAAGAGAGGGTTTCAGGAAAGAAGTATATGATTGGAGATGGGTCATGAATGTCAGCACCTTCCAAAGAAGTAATTTCTCACCCATTTTAAACCCTCCCTCCACCCTTAGCTTAAGTAAGAATGCCTCTTGGTCTGTTTATCATGCAAGGATGTGTGCGTGTGTATGTGTGTGTGTGATTATATCTAACAATGAGGATTGGAGCAACACTCAATCCTCATTGTAATTACATTCCTTGTTTGTGTGGTGTTATTTACATTGTAGCTGTGGATTCAAACTCTCAAACTTTGCAACCAATAACATTGGAATTGAGAAGACGAAAAATATCAAAAGGAAGTGAAGTTCCATTAAAACGCCCTCGGCTTGACAAAAATTCATGTGAGTCTTCGTTCTGTGTATGTGTGCCTAGAACTTGCCTTCAGTTGGGTTAGCCGCCTCTGTATCCATGTTTCCCCTATGCCCTATAGACTCAAAGTCATGTCCTTGATTGTAGGCTCTGTGAGTGGGATGTGATTAGATCAAAAGTTTTGCTAGAAGAAAAATAAATCTCAGCATAAACTCCCATTAATCTTGAGTTCAGTGGTGTCATTTCCATACCCATAAACTACATTTGATTTGGATTCCACTAGAAACTTAATGACTTAGGAAGGGATGAATTTCATATGCTGAGTGAAACTTTAAGAATACTATTTATTGATTAAAAAAAAAAATCCTATTGGCTCCAAAAAGGATTTGTGATGGCTCTAAGGCTCTATAAACCTTATTGACTTTGAAAGTCAGTACACAGACTTTTATGGTAGGAAGCTCCAACATAGAACTTAATTGTTAAGATTGGGACATGACGTTAAGATTGGGACATAACATTGGCACATATTTGTAGACTATGAATCCTTAAAGGGAATTCTATCTTGGTTAGAACATCTTCCTGATACACTAAGGAGTGTGATAGAGTAACTGTGCCTTTACTTATAGCCATAAACCAAGGAAGGATATATCCTTTAATGACTGGCCTGGTATTCCAGAAGTTTCTATAAAGCCCTTATAGAGGACAGCTAGCTCAAAAATCTGTAGTAGCATAGTTATTTCTTCTGGTCTCTTGACAATAACTCTCTTTAATGATTTATAGCCCAGGAAAAGTCAAAAACCTACCCAGCAAACACTGACAAAGACTTATCAAGGAGACGGTCCTCTAGGCTGTCTACAAATGGGACCCATGAGATCTTAGATCCTGACTTGGTTGTATCGGATATGGTTGATGCAGTTAATACTGATTCTTTGCAAAACACATCACCCAGTTCCAAAGAGTCTGAAGAAGGTAAGTCAAAGTCTGCTAAGGAATTGTATTGCCAACCTGATGCTTGTCTGGTGTGAACCAATCTAAGAATGTGTACTACCTACCACAAGTTTTAGATGGTTTTGAAATTAAGTTATTGAGTGGGCTGCAGTGTTTTATATTGTCTTCACTGATAACTTTTTTTTTTTTTTTAAAGAAGTCCATTTATTTATTTATTTATTTATTTATTTATTTTTAAATATATTTTATTGATTTTTTACAGAGAGGAAGGGAGAGAGACAGAGAGCCAGAAACGTCGATGAGAGAGAAACATCGACCAGCCGCCTCCTGCACATCCCCTACCGGGGATATCCCCGCAGCCAACGTACATGCCCTTGACCGGAATCGAACCCGGGACCTTTCAGTCTGCAGACCGACGCTCTACCACTGAGCCAAACCGGTTTCGGCTATTTTTTATTTTTTTTGAATATATTTTATTGATTTTCTTACAGAGAGGAAGGGAGAGTGATAGTTAGAAACATCGATGAGAAACATCAATCAGCTGCCTCCTGCACACTCCCTACTGGGGATGTGCCCGCAACCAAGGTATATGCCCTTGACTGGAATCAAACCTAGGACCTTTGAGTCCGCAGGCTGACACTCTATCCACTGAACCAAACCATTTAGAGCTTCACTGATAACTTTTTGAGATTGGTTTTGCTTATATACATCTGAGTATTGGGCTTGAAGAGCCCTGCCCACCTCTTTCTGTCTTTCTGATACCACTTCATTCCAGTGCCTATGCTTTGTGAGTTAATGCTTCTGACAAGTCCTCCCTTCATTTTAACCTCTTTTTCAAAAATATATACTTTTTATTAATTTTTTACAGAGAGGAAGGGAGAGGGATAGAGAGTTAGAAACATCGATGAGAGAGAAACATCGTTAAGCAGCCTCCTGTACACCTCCTATTGGGGATGTGCCCACAACCAAGGTACATGCCCTTGACCGGAATCGAACCTGGGACCTTTGAGCCAAACCGGTTAGAGCCATTTTATTTTATTTATTTATTTTTTTTTTATTTATTTATTTTTTTAAATATATTTTATTGATTTTGTACAGAGAGGAAGGGAGAGAGATAGAGAGCCAGAAACATCGATGAGAGAGAGTCATCGATCAGCTGCCTCCTGCACACCCCCCACTGGGGATATGCCCGCAACCAAGGTACATGCCCTCGACCGGAATCGAACCCGGGACCCTTCAGTCCCCAAGCCGATGCTCTATCCATTGAGCCAAACCGGTCCCGGCCGGTTAGAGCCATTTTAAACTCTTATTAGCCTTTTTGAGATGCTCCAGCCCTGGCTATATGTGCTAGAGCCTGTGAATATATACTTTTATGCTATGAGATGAATGGCTTCCTCTAAAAAGTCCTTGGCTTTCTTAGTCTGTTGAGGTACTTTTGGTACCCAGACTATATACATGTATATGCTTCCCACATACTTTTTTCCCCCCATCCAGGTCAGTTGAAATCTCCTTTGGAAGCTGGCCAGATCTCATCTGCACTAACTTGCCACTCCCTGGGAGATGGATTGGGGGTTACAGACTTGGAGTTGAACTGCAAGTCAATGGGAGAAAACGCTATGAAAACAGAACCGGCTTCTCCTCTTGCTGAGTTTCAAGAGATTTCTGCTGTGGCAGGTTCATATTCAGAGTTAACATAATTCTCTCCTAATATATACTTTCGATTGTGAAGTATAATTGATGTTTTTTTTAACCTTTTATTAATAATACTTCCTTATTTTAATGTTATATTTTTTCATTTCTCATATTGCTAATTTGTGTTTTCTCTTTTCTTGATTAATAGGGTAGAGTTTATCAATTTTGTTTGATAGTTTCAAAGAACCAACCTATCTTTCTCTATTTGTCTTTTTTAGATGTCATTGATTTCTGGAAAATTTAGAGTTATAAATTTTCCACTAAGCACTGCTTTAGCTACATCCTACACATTTTGTTATGTTCTATTTTTATTCAATTCAAATATCTTGTGACTTATTTGTTTTGCATGGGTTACTTAGGACATGTGTTTCTAAGTATTGTGTGTTTTTTTTTTTAAAGAAACTTGCTGTTATTGATTTCTAATGTAATTCCATTGTGGTCAGATAATGTACTTTGTCAATTTTCCTTTATGTATTTTGGAGTTCCGTTACTAGGCACTTACATATTTATAATTTTTATGTCCTCCTGATTAATTGCCCCCTTTGTAATATGAAATATCACTTTGATTTTGATAATAGCATTTTACTTGAAGTTGATATTAGTGCAGGTACCAGCTTTCTCTTACTTACTGTATGCCTGGCATTTTGAACACTTTCTGTAAACATAAGTGTGTTTTTAAATTCAAAGTGTGTCTTTTATATTTAGAATATAGTCAGGTTTTGCTTTTAATTGCAACCTTTAAGTCTACTTAAGTATAATTATTGATATGGTTGTTTTTAGGTCTACTATTTGCTTTTTGTTTTCTGTTTATCCTCTGTTTTGTTCTTTTCTGTTTTTGTTTTTAGGTTAGTTGAATATTTTTTCAGAATTTCATTGTAATTCATCTATTAGCTTTTAGCTATACGTCTTAGCATTTTTTTAAGAAGTTACTCTAGGGATTCTGACTTATATTCTTAACTTTTCACAATTTAATTGAGTCACTTTATGTAAAACTTTGTATAGTTCCATTTACCCACCCCCCGTTATGCTTTAGTTATATGAATTTTATCTGCACATACTAAAATTCACAGTATAATATTATAATTTTTGCTGTAAGCAATTATATATTTTAAAGAAGACAAAAGATGTAGTCTTATGTACATGGTTACTATTTTCAGTGTCTTCCTTTCTTCCTAAAGATTTCTTTCAGCATAAAAAATTTCCTTTAGTTTTTCTTGTAATACAGGTTTCCTGATGACAGTTTGTGTTAGTTTTTGTTTATCTGAATATGAGTTGATTTAACTTTCATTTTTGAAGGATATTTTCATTGGATATAGGATTGTGGGTTTACAGGTGTTTTTTTTGGTTTTTTTTTTAAGTACTTTAAAGATGTACTCATTGTCCTCTGGCCTCTTTTATTTCTGACGGGTAGTTAGTGATCATTTATATCAATGCTTCCTTGTTTGTAATGTGTTCTTTCCTTTTTGGCTACCTTCAAGATTTTTCTCTTTATCTTTGTTTTTCAGCAGTTTCACATGTTTAGGTTTGTTTTATTTTTGTACTTAACCTGCTTGACTTTCAGTTGAGCCTGATCATCAAATTTGAGCCATTATTTTTGTGAATTTTTTTTGTTATTTTCTCTTCTACATTGTGGGTTTACATTAGACTTTTGTAAATATGTTATGTTAGACCTTCTGGTTAACGTAGCAGAATAGTTCTTTGAAAATAGTGTATTCAGATATTTATTCCTGGATCATCCATGGTTCTATTATGTTGGTCCCACTGGGTCAGAGTGTTGTGCCTTAGTCTCATGGATACAAGTAATCTCCCTTTTCTGGTTGAGTCTCCTCTCTGTGGCAGAGATCCTCTCCTCCCAGCCTGCTTTTCTGTCATGTGGGGGGAATTACTAGAATTAATGTTCAAATGAAGTGGAAATTTAATCTCAGAGCTTAGAGCTCTAGATGAGCGGTCACCAAACTTTTTTAACTCATGGACTACCGGACCACTGCTCTTGATGACAGCTATATTCCTTATAACTCAGCAGACTAAGCTCTTAATTATGTTGTCTTAAAGGTGGAGCTATGTTAGATATCTCTGGAAACTTGCAATGAATTATTTCTACACCACTAGAAAATAGGCTGTGTAGAGATGAGAGGAGTGAGGACATTAGGTTACAGGCTAAATCCAGTGCCTGATTCCCCCCCCCCCCCCCCCCTTTTAAAAAAAGAAAGTGGAGGGGCGGAGGGATGTGGAGAGAGAGAAACATTGATGTGAAAGAGACCCATTTATTGGTTGCTTCCTGCATACTTCTGGGGTCAGGGTTTAAACCTAGAATCCAGGTATGGGCCCTGGGCCTGGAATCGAACCTGAGATACTTTTGTGCTTGGTCCGACACTCGCCTGTTTTGAAGTTTAGGTATTTTGTGGGGTCTTGAGCTACCTCTTTCCAAAAGAGAGAGACAGACAGACAGACAGACAGACAATATTTGTCTTTGTTAATTTAGCAGTGTCTCTGGTTTGTGTAGACTATGAATAAGGTAAAGTGAGGGTGGGACAGGTGACTCTTGGGAAAGGAAAATGGAAAGATTTTATATTATCTTTTGCTCTTTTAGATTGCACAGGGGATTTTCTAGGGAATGATATTGAAACTACTGCCTATTTAAAAAAATATATATATTTTATTGATTTTTTACAGTGAGGAAGGGAATAGGAGAGAGTTAGAAACATCAATGAGAGAGAAATATCAATCAGCTGCCTCCTACACACCCCCCTCTGGGGATGTGCCCGTAACCAAAGTACATGCCCTTGACTGGAATCAAACCTGGGACCTTTCAGTCCTCAGGCTGACGCTCTATCCACTGAGCCAAACCCCACTGCCTGTTTTTAAAAAATGTGTTTTATTAATTTCAGAGAAGAGAGGAGAAGGAGAGAGAGATAGAAACATCAATGATGAGAGAGAATTATTGATCAGCTGCCTCCTACATGCTCCACACTGTAGTGTATTGCTAGCAGTTGGGGCATATGGCCTGACCGGGAATTGAACTATGACCTCCTGGTTCATTGGTTCATAGGTTGACATTCAACCACTGAGTCACGCTGGCCAGGCCCCACTGTCTGTTTTCCAAGAGAATTTTTAGTAATGATAGAGGTCAGATTACTGTGAGCTTGTACTGGGAGGAATAAATGCTGCAAGGAACCTATTACTAAAGTAGGCTCTAAGCTTTTTACTTTCATGACTTAAAAGCCAGAGGAGAATGGAGTTGAAATTGTTCCATTTGGGTAGGCATTTGTTTATGATGTAAAACAAAAATTAGAATAGATGCCCTAAGAAGTTCATTTATCTCAGATTATTCTCTAAATGTGGGCCCTAGCCTAATGGACATTCACAGATAGCCAGGAGTATTTGAAAATGGGCCACAGTACATTCATTCTATTTTTAAAAAAATCTTCACCCAATGATACTTTCTCCATTGATCTTTGGACAGAGTGGAGGGAAGGGAGACGGGAAGAGAGGAGAGGAGAGAGGGAGAGAAACAATGTGAGAGAGACACATTGATTGGTCGTTTCCCGCTCATGCCCCAACCAGGGCCAGGGATTGAACATGCATCTGAGTATGAGTCCTTGACTGGGAATTGAACCAGAGACCTTTTGGTCTGTGGGCCAATGCTCTAACCATTGAGCAATCGCTCAGGTCCATTCATTTATTTTAGTCAGCAAATATTTAGCAAGTGCCTACTAAGTCCTACATGAAACACAAAATAAACGAGAGAAGATCTAGCAGAAGTATAGGTTCAGTCAAGAAATTAAAAAAAAACACCTAAGTACATGTTAGAAATGAGATATTTTGCCATGTGGTCTAAATCAGCGATTTTCAACCTTTTTCATTTCATGGCACGCATAAACTAATTTCTAAGATTCTGCCAAACACCAAAAAATATGTCTTTTGCCAATCTGACAAAATTTGTATAATTTGTATAATTTTGATTCCTTCACACCAGATGGCTATTGTTGTGTTAGCTGTTGTCATTCTCTTATTTTAGAATCTAAGGGGAAAAGAGTCAGTGCTCCTGACTAACTAGTTTTAAAAATTCTTGTGGCACACCAGTGTTCTGTTACACATGAGTTGAAATAGATCAATGATTCTAACCTCTGGAGTCTTGATATGTTTTCAGTTATAAACTGAATAGAAAGTTATTTGTCATTAAAATATCAAAAGTTTACAAGGTATTTACCTTTAAATTAACCAGTAATGTATATAATAGTTTTTTCAAATGGTTTATTTTTAAGTTAACCAGGTCAGATTTAGTGTAATGCTATAGTGGTTTAGCTTTCACACACTTGAGAAGGAAGGTCATAAGGTTACAGTCATTGTAGTTTGAAAAGTTGTGGTGTCTATGATCTACATCAGACATATGCTCTGGTGAAAAATTGGTTCAGAATTCATTTTTCCAGGGATTAGAAAGATGAATGAGATATCTGGACAGTCCCCCTTCTAGGTTTCTCAGTCCAGAGGAATGAATAAAACTGTAGGAATCAGTAACACAAGAGTAAAAATAAGATGGTGTCATGAGCAATACTTAGAAGACTGACAATGATAATATCTGTCTGAAAGTTGAACTCAGGATTCGCTTGTTGAGCCCTTTACTATATGCCCAGGAGCTCTGCTAACTGTTGAGTATACAAAGATGAATGGGTGTTCTTGGTCTTAGTATTTATTAAATACTGTTTGGATATAACTTAGGGAGAGAGATGATATTTAGGTTGATGCTTTGGAGGCAGGGGTAGAAGAAGGTAATACTTGTTCAGGGCCTTGAAGGATGACTAGCAGTTAGGCATTTGAAGGTGGACATTGAGCAGCATCAACAGCATAATCATAGGTTATTTTCTGAGACTGTCAGGTGTGCTTTCTGACTTAATTGTAGGCTTCCTGAAGTGAGTTAAGGCTGAGCAGGTAAGTTACTGCCAAACTGACGTCAGTTGCTTTGAGGAGTTTATGGGACTACT